GCAGTACATTTTTCTCCTACCTTATGGAAGGTGGTGAGCCCTTCGTCGTTATCTTCACCAGAGCCCTCATCCGATTCAATTTCTTCGTCGTCATCAGCATCAACGACACCATCCATGTCCAATGCACCGATGTGGACTATGTTTTCGGGTTCGCTTTCATCGTCCGAACCTGCCGCTCTACGGTCCAATTTCTCCTCAACCTCCTCTTTTGAAAATGACTGCTTCACATCTACTCTTCTGGTCCTCCGTTTATCGGTGTATTCATAGAGGTTATGCAGTTCATCTACGTCTCCGGCGACTCCCAGGGAAGATGGTCGTTCCTTGCGCTCAGCGCGGATTTTTGACGATTCATATCGTCGCCTTAGGACGTCTGAAGAGAATGGACGTTTTCCTCGTAGCCTCGCCTTGCCGTTCTTTATAGCCATCGAGGGTGGAGGCGGGGGTGCAGGGAGGGTAAAATCTACTGTTTGTTTGAGTGGCGAAATTCGCAATGCACCAATTGGCAACGTTAAGTATCAAGAGGACTTTCACAGCTACTCATAACACAGGAGTACCAGGCGTATAATTCACCTCCTCATCAAGTATTTGTAGATGACACTACCGAACGTTGTATCAAGATGGTATATACATGTGGATCAACTAAAATTACTGTGTATTATAGGTGAGCCAAATTGTTCAGAGCGACAGTAGCTACAAGTGTTATAAATAATAGCAAAGATATACTAGTAGAAATATCATGATACCAGGTTTCCGAAATGAAACCCAATACCACGTAACGCGTTATGCGCCGCTTGATCCCGAGCCTCCTGAAGACGCCTGCCGTTTCCGATGAAGAAAAGACGTCCTTCCGATGCGGCATATTGGTCATCCCATGTCAATGTGAGATCAGTTATACCCGTGACTAGATATCGACAGAGCGTCAGACAGTGAGCTAATCTGAGTTATTGACACTCACTGTAAATGCGACAGATCCATTCCGGGGCACTTGCAGGGCCCGTTGAGTCTTGTTCTTCGTAAAAGCTAATTGCTCCCCGCTGAAGGAGATTATGGAGGTTCATGAAGTATCTTGGTGCTAACCAGGATAGACGTATAAGCAGCAAGGCCAAGGTCACAGAGGAAGGGCATACCTGGATTCTGATTATTCATTCTCGTAATATCTGGTTGAGATGTGGGGTGGGACTCTCGTTGTGCGTAGGAACAGAGGATGGATGGGGATGGCAAGGAAGGGTGATTGACTACTTATACGACTGCATCCCATTCAAGCGCTTTAAAAATGATCTCCTCAGGAATACGTATTGTATGCCATATGCAGCGGTCGTTTTGGAGCGTCGGAATGACTACCAGCACAGAAATACGCACTCAGGCGCTTTGTCACATTATAGAACTCGCAACGTCTGTTTCCTTTGTAGGAAAACTCTGTCTGATTCCAGAATACGGAGACGGCCAGGCTATAGGAAATATTGGGTGGCCAGAATGGAATGAGACCTTAGAATCTCTTTCGTCTCACGCAAGTCCATGATCGACTTCCATGGATTATATGGCGGAGAGGTCTGTTGATTCTCCAAGCATGGCGAAGAAATGCGGCGTGAGGTTACGAGCATACGTAGAAGGCCCGCGGTGAGGTGGAAAGAGAGGGATATTCCAAGTCCGCAGCATGGGAATCCACCCGCTCAGCCGCCGAGATCAACAACGCCACACGGCAGAGTTGAAACGCCATTTTTCTGGGTGTGAATGGCCCAACAATAAAGACGACCACAAACGTCTCGCTTGAGCCATGTGTAGGTTTTCCATCAGAAGGGTGGACTTGGCGGACAAGACGGGCCTAGTCCGAAATGTCCTAGCTGCTTTGAGCGGGACGGAGACACCGTGCGGAGTGGCCTACGTTGCTAACGTTGAGAATGTTCGGTGGTGACCTCTCGGACGAAATCGGCATAACGACCCGTGACATGCCACGCAGGGTGTGGTAAACACGGTGATATCGGCGCGTCACTACATCACATCACATGAATACACATTTCAAGCAGCCTCCCTTTGCCTTAGGGCTATGAAGTATGGCGCGCGCTATTTCCTCAAAATTCAATTGAAACGTGTTTGCGCAACAGGGGTGGATAAGGAGCATACAAAGAATGTCACGACACGGCTCTATAGTGTGGTCACACCGGGTGGGCATCCTAGAGAGCGGGCGAGACACAACATGGGGAGAGAGAGATTTTCTTAAGGCTGCAGTCCCGCAAAATCGAACCCAATGGCGCGCAACGTATTATGTGCAGCCATGTCTGTAGCGTCTTGCTTCCCGCCTGCTGTTGCGATGAATTCAAGGCATGACCCCTCCCATGCGACATAATCTTCGTTCCAAGTTAGATTCGAGTCGTTGATGGAGGTGACTAGTGTTCATTCCCCAGTTAGCGGTTAGGAAGGACGACAGTAACTTGAATACCTCGGCACTCACTCAAGATGGTACACGTCCAAATTGGGGCATGGTCGGGACCACCAGTGCGCTCTGCCTTCTTGGCTAGTGTAACTCTCCCAGCCTGCTGTAAGTTGTGCAAGTTGAGCCAGTACCTTGGTGACGCGGCTACGTAAAATAGGCCAGGTGAGACGTGTCTTAGCAGGTCTGGTGCGACATTTACCCATGATTCTATGCGTAAGGACCTGATATGTGTTGGGATAAGTCTGGCTGGCCGAGGGAATTGTGAATGATTTGACTGCAACGGCTCCCAGTATATATAGCATACTCCGTCGTTCTGTGCTCCAGCATCGATTTCTAGTGGAGTTCGTCTAGCGTACGAACCAGCAGGCCGACCCAGCGAAAGCGCCGTGGCGTTTTGCCTTTGATAGGCGCACGATAATGGGGACCGGTCCCAACGCAAGATCCGTATTTCTCGATAGTACATTCCATCACTGGCCTGGCCACTGGTATCTGGCGGAGCTAGCCCAGAGACCAAAGCCATCCGACCTGCACGAAAGGTCGCGGAGCGCTGAAATGAAAAAAGAGGCTGTCCCTTTTGTCGCTTTGAGCCGTACTGGGTATAAGGTGGAATTACAGGCAAAAGACGCCCAGTTGCGAACATGGGCAAAGTTCTACCGGTGCCGCATACGGCTCGTGCTGATAGCCGTCAGGCAGCGGCATATCCTGAATATCGTTGGGCATATCCATGGCGTGTACGGTCGCTCGGACAGTACACTCTACCGTCAAAATAGCGGTCGGCACCACAGCTTCGCGTAAACCGTAAATTTGTGCCGTGGAGATGAAAAACTTGGACATCCCAAGAGTCGACTTGAAGTCGCTCCAAGGCCAAAACAAATGTCCTAGTTGAGAACAAACCACCGCCTACAGTATGTACTGGTAGGTTTGCTTGTTGTCCCGGAGATCGCTGCTCGGGATAGTGATGAACTCGGTTGGTTCGGATGCAGCCAAGTCGGTCAAACCTTTCAGGCACACCACCATTGCACGTGATCCGATACTAGGAGGCAAGGCTTGCGTTGTTCATCTACTCTACTACAACTCCATCAATGAAAGTCCCATAGCCCCTTTAGTACGTGTTAAACGAGGATATAAATCAACCAACCACCGCCTGTGAACGTTGAAAATGATTCGAACTTGATGGAATGTAACGATCTTGGTTCGCGTCAATTCAAGTTCTGAAATTCGAATTGAATCCCGCGAAGAGCATTGTGCGCAGCACGGTCCATAGCTTCCTGCTGTCGCAAACCGTCTCCTCGGAATTCAAGGCCTGTCTGGGCCCAGTTAAGATATTGCGGGTTCCAGAAGAGCCCTGGATTAAAAATGTGAATTACTGGACCATCGAGACCATTTTCAGTCGGGATTCTCAGAGATTAAAGGACCGCATGCGTACTGGTAATCGTACAGTTCCATTGGGGCCTGTGGGATGGACCGACAGAGTATGTCTCGCAAGTGAATTGCAACTTCCGCTCCTGCTGAAGGTTGTGCAAGTTCATGTAATACCTGGGCAGAGCTAACAAGAGGTGCAATCGATCAGCTGGTGAGTCGTCCTCGGCGTTGAGAAGATGAAGCTACCAGGTGCGGCCATCCTGTCGAGAGGTACGTCGGGTGATTTCAGTGTGCTGCATCCCCTCACCTATATGATCGCTTTAATAATACACGAGCAGGAGTAGTCATAATACGGCACGACAATCCATTTCGACAATCTTGTTGGACGTCTCTGGTATGGATCCGAGCGAGACGCCTCAGGTAACAAAATAGTGCAACGGCGCCTCGACCTTTTTGATCAAAGCGATGTTCAATCCGCCCTAGACCGTCGTTGGAGCTCTAATGTTGACGCCACCTGTCTTGTCAAGAAGTTTTCGACGGTTGCTGGAAGCTGGTATGCGGTAAAAGGCCTAGCATCAGGACTCAGCAAGCGCATGTTGTTGGGTGAAGTAGAAAAATCTTCTCCTGTTCCCCTTTGTCAATGCGCGCTAAGGCGCAAAACCGCCAATGCGTTTCAGAAACGAGTCTAATTGAAGACCGTTTGCGGAATTGTCAGAGCGGTGCCAAACTGGTTCTCTCCAATTTAGGCAGCATCAAACGCATTCTACTATTAAATTCGCGCGGCCCAGACTCGCCCGTTGTGGGTCTAAAATCTGTGCGCCAGTCACCGGAAGGCCAAATTCCGGCCGGTGCACACTGTGCGATCCATCGTTGGCCAGCCTTGCGGGGTGTAAGGACAAGGACGTGCATGAATCCTGTCATACCAGAAAATAAATACGAGGTCTGTCTTCAGGACAGCGCAAATGAGCAAGTTGGCAGTGAGGGATCGTGTCGGCGTGACTTTGAGAACAAAGGCCTACTGACAAACAGTTTGCACGGCTTGCATGTGATCACAACGAGAGCACCACTCATTTCCTGGTCTAGTTACCTTCCCTCTCTTTCACACCGAGGAGCCTAAACATCTCATTCTTTCGCAGTAGCCTTGTGCTAGTTGGGCGGTTGAGTGAAGTAGTCATTAACGAAGCTTTCGTCAGGGGTTCTAGCTCATCGGTAGAGCGCTCCCTTAGCATAGTACCCTACAACCTCGCCTGGGAGAGGTGCAGCGTTCGACTCGCTGGTACTCCACTTTTTTTTTGTATCCGTTTCCAGAAACCGACCAACGGCTGCGCTGCCTGTTGCCATTAATTCCAGCGGACGAGAGTTACGGAGTCTGGGTCACGAGTCTTTTGCATAATTTGTCTGCACCTAAATGCCTTCAAAGTTCACTGTAGAATTGCTTCCTCTCCTGAATCACCGTATGCAAACATGCTTTCCTGAAACGTTATGCAGCTCGGCATTTACATTCAGACTAGACACATTGTCGATTAGTTAGGCATTGCTGGTCACGTTCCAGAACGTTCACTACAGTGAAAAATAAGGCATTCTGTGGCGACACAACCTCGGACTGAAAGGTACTCGCTGTTCCCGGAACTCCTAGTGGGAAAAATATGGGTGACGGTTTCACGGACCCTTGGGATTCACGCTGCCGACCTGTTGGTAGCTTACCGGCTATTGTCCCTTAACCTCTCCCTTGAAGCAAGTAGGGTCAACGCCACAGCCTACCGTGTCCAAGCGGTTTGCCAGACACACTGGGTGGCGGTGCCGATAACAATTTTGCAGCTCTGCTTGTAAGCCAGCGCCTTGTTTTCGCCCTATTCGTGCGTGTACTGGCGGCTGCATGCCAACATGTTTCGTCTGTGTATCGCACTTGATGGTGGAAGGCCTGTGATGTGCTGGAAAGATGCCGCGCAGACACGCCTTCGCCCAAGCAGCGTTGTCGAGAGGTTAGACTTGCGTGGGATTTAGACCAGTCCTGATAAGTAATTTGGCACGGCTTCTAGCAACGCCTGATACTCGAGAGTCCAAATCTGGCCACGTACGACCCATCAGCTTGTACAGTCTTTCGGACATGTCTCAGTTCTCCGCAAAACGACTAAAACGACCAAGCGGCCGTTTGACAGTCGTGCGATCTGCAACGACAGAAGTAATGGAAGCGATCGCCTGAAGATGGTTTGCCATGCTCACCTATTCTTTTCCAGACCTGACCGTCTACCACGGTAGTTCTGATTCCGCTTGATAGCCACGAACTCAGTGGTCTACTCTGTGCGCCATTAAGAGGGCGTATCCCATAACTTTGCTAGCCATCTCAATTGATCTTCCTGACCAGATCATGCCATTGCTTATTGGGGAAAGATGAGGTGGATATCAAGCCCCTGGGACCAAGATCCGTTTTTAGGTCACCTTAATCTTCATTCAGTCAGCCAACTCCTGATTTCTGATAGCTGGCCGACCTAGATGGACGGGGATATGAACAGCAGCG